GGGCAGGATTCTCGGAGCGGGAGGGGAGAACGAAAGAGATCGGGGGACAGGTTCCCTCGAGCCTCCCCCAGGGGGGGCGAGTCTCAATTCGATTGTCCACCATCAAGTATCAAGTTGCTGGGGCGCCAATCTTTGAGAATTTTGTCAGCATCTAATTGAAGGAGGCAAGCAAATGAAGGGAGGCATTGCGGGCCGCGAGAAAAAGTGTTTGGCCGAAGCCAGAAAGAGGTTGACCCACTTCATTTGCCATTTTTTATTGAATGAAAAGAAGATTGCGCCAATGAAAGATCTCGAAGAGCGGGATGACAGAGCTCAACCGCAATAAGTCGCTGGTCGAAGGTTTGGACGAAATGAGTTAAAAAGGGGTTCTTTCCCGAGATGAGTTCTTGCATCCTGCTCTCGAGGGGGTGGAGTCCTGGAGCGAATCAACTGACTTCTCCCTTCTTCATTGATCCAAAGCCATAATATCTCAAAACGAGGAGGCCATAAAGAAAGTCTTTAAATTAAAATAAATTTTGAAAACATTTTGGACTGATATAAAAGTATAAATTATTAGTTTAAATATTTAATAAAATTTTAAAATTTTTTTAATTTAGAAAATAGAAATTTTTTTTGTTTAAAAAAATACAATAGTTTTAAACTAAAATAAATTTTGAAAACATTTTAGATTAAAAAAATATAAAATATAAAAAAAAACGGAAATTTTTTTTTTCATTGGTTCAAATCCCATACCTCTTATTCAAATTAGGTGATATGTACCATCCGGCCATTAATATGTTAATTATGACAAACATACTATTTAGCCTCCAATAGCATCTGAACACAAAATAAAAAAAATAGAAACAACAAAAACGAAACTACTTTTCATAGTTTCTAATAATTGGTCTATTTTTTTGAAAGCGTTTCTCAAAATTTAAAAATGAGAAACGAGATTGGTTATCAAACATGTCCGTTTCTCAAAAAATGAAAAACATGAAACGGGAACGTCGGAGTGTTATTCAAATATTATTATTAATTTTTTGCATTAATCGTCTTAAAACAATTAATAAAATAATTTAAGCGTAATCCCACAGGCCGAACGTAATAATGTGGTTAATAATTAAATGTCAAAAAATAAAAAAGGCTGTGACATTGTCGGTCACATCAGCTGCGAGGGATAATCTAAGTACCCTTTTTGGTAATTTCGTATAAATTACGTAAGATAGAATCAAATGATTCCTGGGCCCCACAGGCTTTTCAATTTTTTTCCATATATTTTCAGCTCAAGTTGCCGGGTTAACTTTAGAAACAATTTATTTAAAAGAAAAAATAATTTTTGAAATAAGGGAAGAAAGTAGTGTTATTTTGAAATTAATAATTAAAAAAAATAATTTTTGGTGAAAGTGGCACATTTTAACTAAGTTGAGTTTGATGCCCCACAAATTTTCTATTACTTGCCTTCTCAAAATTCACTAAAAACTTGTTACAAATTTTGACGAAAATCCCTGAAAAAAAGTACTCTAACGCTCCCATCAATATAAGTCCATACTATTTCGCTTTAAATTAAAATCGAGATTTGCGTGTATCAGAGTGAATTGATCTTAGATATTTATAGATATTTAATGACTAGATTGTAATTGTCCACGACATCTTATCCAAAATTGTAGTGAACTATACAGGATAGTAGCAAATGTACATTTAGGAGTAGATATTTTCGAACTCTCCATTTTCAAACTTTCAAAATTAACAAATTCGCTATTAACAGTGGTCGTCTGATTGAGTTCGAAATTCTTGGATCATGCTTCATGTTGACTTCAATGAGTGACACGTGGGAGATCGTTTTCTACCACTTTACAACTTGGCTATTTTCTATTTTATCATTAGTTTCAAAACAAAAATACTTTTATTTTTCTAATTTCGTCAAAAATTTATTTTTTTTAAACCTTTTAATTCCATCTAAAAGGGGAAAAAAAAAAGAAAAAGTACAAGGCGCCACTTGCCGAGCGAACGCAGGAAATTTTAGAGCGTCCATTGTTTTTCTGTATAATATTATATTTCGTGACTGTGTATTATTATTTATAATTTATTTCTCCGAGGTGCTATAGAGATTTCTGTACTTTTATATTTGCAAATTCTTTATTTTTAGGAAAAATTTGTAAACTTAAAAATATTATATGTATTCTATTTATATATAAAAAAACAAATCACAACCTTAAAATTGTTTCTTCGCCGATAATTTTTTCTTTTTATTTGAAGTCAAATTAAATTATGCTATTTTAAAAACAAAATTTTAATTTGTTGTTATATTTAAAGATACAAAATTTTATTTTGTTATTTATGTTATTGTAGCTATTGTTTTTCATATAAATTTGATGAAATATCTATCAATGTATAGCTTTTAAATTAAAAATATATATAAGGTTTTTGAAAACTAAATTAAAACTATCCATCTTAATTTATAAGTAATATTTTAAAGTTTCTCTCAATATAGGAACAGAGAACAGAAGAGTTAACTAATTCAATAACGGATAACAATAAATATATATGAGACAAAATCACAAGACCACTCTTACAAGATCACGTAGACTTGGCGATTGAACTCGACCTAGATTTAAGGCATGTGTCGTGGGACGAGCAAGTCAGCTTGATTTCTTCCTAGTTCTCTTAATGAAATATTAGTTGACATTCTAAGATAATTCTACTTAGGGATATCCCTATTACCAATAAAAAAATCTTTCTTGTTGAGGAGTTTGGACTCTGAGCATTTAAATTTGTGTCCCAAATCTTTCTCCGATATAAAGGAGAGTCAAATCCTAAGTAATATCTAACACTTAATTGCTAGCTCGCTGCTTCTATTCTTCCGACCTAAATTTCAATTTGAGTTTCGAGATATATTTGATCAAGTACTACATTGGTACTAGTTTATAATATATAGATACTACTTTAAGTTACTTACGTTTTCTCGTATTAGTCCAGGTCATCAAAATTCCTAATTCTTGATCTCACCTAACATGTCATTTAAGTCAGATATCGACATCCAACATATTATATATGTAATATATAAAAGAATTTCCAAGTGGAAACTTGAATCAATGACGTGGCGAAATAAAATCAAACGTGGCTGCAGAAAGAGCGTAGATTATTCTACACTCAATTACGTATCCCCCACCTGCCACATTGGCCAAGATTCTTCCAGACCCCTCTTTATCCGTTTAAGAAGAAACAAAATTTTGAAAAATATTTATTGGGGTATTTTAATTTGTTTGCAATGGGTGTATTTTTAATATTATCACTTCTTTTTTTTTTTTTGACAAGGAATTAATATTATCACTTCTACGCCATTAATTAACATTAAAAAAAACTACTAAATTATTAGCCCCAATGCCCCAACCTACAAAATGTTTAAAGGACCGACGCATTAACCTCGTACTATTAATGTTAGGGGATCAAAACCAACGCAAACATGTGACCCTCCATTGTATAGACACGTATATCCAAACTTAAAATGTCAGTTAGAGAAAATTTCCTTTTATTTATTTATATCCGTAAGAATCCGATCTAGATTATGCATACCTCGATTAATTTTACGAGATAACTATCTGACCCTATAATATTTGGTACTCGGAAGACACATATGAATAAATTCCTTTGATAGGTGGCCTTTATGAAATTTGAACTCATTTTCAATTTAATCTAACTCCTTTGGATCTATGAGTATTTATGATGGTTACTAAAAGAAAAATTATTATGGCAGAGAGGAAATCTATTAATATTTGGTTAAAGAACGATTATGCTATTTGAAGGTCTATCATTTACAAAAATTCGAAAGTATGACAATTGTAGTGGTGGTAAAGTCACAGATCTCAAATGCTCCCTTCATATAAAAGGTGGAGTCTCGCCTTTAAAAGTATGCAATCTCTTGCATTCTAATTAACCTCAACTCGACGTCAGCTTGAATGAAATTCTAACTTGAACGAAGTTCTTAACTTGGAATGTACGTGGATGAACACCCTATTGATACAAGGTTCTATTTGCACGTCGTCAGTAAAGTTGACGTTGGACTACTATTGACATGTTAGAGTAAGCCAAAATTACGCCCTGAACAATGAATTTTTAATAAATAATTAAAAAAAAATCACGTTTTACCTAAGTGAAGTGTACCAATTTTCCCCATTTAACTTTTAATTTAACCAAATTCAAATTTTAGACGAACAAGTTTGGCAACGTTTACATTTTGTTAAGTGTCAATTTTACCTTTAAACTTGATTCATATATACTCTAAACTTTGAATTTCATCTCCAATGACACTTAGATAAATGTTATAATATTTATTTGAATTTTAAAAAGTGTTGTAATTTTTACTAGAAATTTGTTAAAAAAAATGTCAAACGAATTACAAAACATATATTTGGTATGAAAATAATAAGCTTTAGATAGAAACGACATTGGACATTCTTTTCTAAAAGAAGAAATCTGAAAATTTTGGCAAAGTTATTTAATAGTCATCTTTTTACATTAATCCTGCTTAATTGATTAATTTTGTAAGTTTGGTGACATACATATGCCTTTCTTCCATCAAAATTAGTTGGTGAACGGGAGAAAATTGAAGAGAATAAAAATTGCAACACTTATATTTTAAAACTAACAAATTTATCTTCGTATCTGTTTCCTTCTATTCACAATCTTATATTTGTAATATTTCATAATTTAATTTAGTACAAAGCTAATATAATTCTAAAGATTGATAACTCAAATTTTCACTTATAGTTAAACTAAAAAAAATGTATAATTCGATAAATCGAAAGTAGAGCAGAAAAAAAAAAGATACAAAATGGATTGATTTGTTTTCCCTAAGATTACAAATCATGGCGTCTATGGAGAAAATTATTGTCCTACGTGGGACCCAGGAGATGAGGCATCATATTAAAGCATTTCAAAGCTACGAAAGTACGAAAATACCCTTCTTCCCCAAAAGAGGCCTATAAATTGGGGATCAGAAGAACCTCAATTCCGCCATTCCACTTCCCATCCCTGCTTCAGAGCTTCGTTATTTTATTTTTACTTTATAATTAGAAAGCAAAGAAAACATTTCATTTTAATTATTTTTTTTCCAAAATTTTCGGAATTTTCTAGCAAGATCTCAGCAATTATGTTGGGAATATTCAGCAGCACGGTCATGTCGCCGCCGGACGAGCTTGTGGCCGCCGGCTGCCGGACTCCGTCGCCGAAGATCTCATCGACGGCGCTGGCGAAGCGGTTCGCCGACACCAACGCCGCCGCCGTCTCCGTCCAGATCGGCGACCACGGCCATCTCGCCTTCACTCACCACAACCAATCTCCCTTGCGCCCCAGGTAACGGAGATTCAACTCCACTTCAACCGCCAAAAAACGCCGTCCTTTGGCCGAAAACTCTTTTTTTTTTTGCTAGAAAGTAAAATTAAAATTTGATTCATTAATTATTCGATAAAGATCTGCCGATCGGACGGTCGGGAAATTGCCCGGTCGCCGGATCGAGCTTCGTCGGCCGTCGATGGATCTCCGGGAAGAAATGATTGGGAAATTGATTGCCGGTGTATTTTCAGTTTCAGACTTACAGTCAGTTAATGAAGGCATTAGTTTCTGGAAAATTAAATTAATTTTTAAATTAAAAAATAGAGTTATTAAATTATTGAATCATAAACGATTCTTAATTTAATTTGTACTTGATATTATGGGGGTGTGGAGATTCGAAAACTGTTTTGTCGGTACACTAAAATAGGAAAGATGATTTAATGTAAAAAAAGAGGAAGATGATTTCAGAATATGTTTTTCTTTTATTTTTGCTTTTCTATTTAAAATTTTGTACTAGTGGTATTTTTAATGTTATCATAGTTACGAAAAAAAAAAATCACAATTTTTTAAAATTATTTATTCTAAAGTTTTTTTTCCACAATTTTATTTTGTATGTAACAATTTTTGTTTTGAGTACATTTTGTAGGTAACAATTTGGTTCTTATAATTTAAATTTGGTAACGAATTAATACTTATCTCTATTTATTTTTCAAGAATGAAAAAGAAGTGTCTAATGAATTAATACTTATCTCTCTTTCATTTTTCAAAAATGAAAAAGAAGTTTTTATCGTCTCGCCCCCTCTTAATAGTGAAAGAGGGATTCTGGTAATTTTTTTTTATTAGGTTTCTTTTATGTATATAGATGCACCAAATTACCTATGTTTATAAATTAAAAATATTAGTTATTGGATAAAATTTAATACTTAATTTAAATAATATATTGTACAAGAAAGAACACATCGACCAAATCGTTATAAATTAATGAAAGTTTTATCCAATTTTATTATAGCGTTCTATTAATAAAAGTAATATATTTATAAACAAAATATTATTTGCACTTTAGACTGAAAAAAATTCACAAAATTTTAAAACTATTTATTACAAAGTTGTTTTATCCAGTTTTAGTATAGCGTGTTAAGAATACAATATGGTAGGGCAAAATAAATTAATCTCAAAATTTTAGATATCATTAAATTTAGTAAATGATTTTGAAACTTTAAAGTATCAAATTAAAATCAGGAATTTGGCTCCCGAAAGTAATATTTATTGAAGGCGATTGATTTTGTTCAAAGCGCAGATCGTTGGGTGTGAAGGACGAAATCTTCTGCTTGTTCGAAGGAGCCCTAGACAATTTAGGAAGCTTGAGGAACCACTACGGCCTTCCAAAATCCGTCAATGAAGTAATCTTAGTAATCGAAGCTTACAAAGCTCTCCGCGACCGGGCGCCGTATCCGGCGGAGCACGTCGTCGGCCATCTCAGCGGCAGCTTCGCCTTCATCCTCTTCGACAACTCCACCTCCACTCTCTTCGTCGCCTCTGTAACTACTCATTCCTGCCAAATTTCCGAGATCGAGATCGAAATCGAAATCGGAATCCGAGATTTGTTGTTTTTTGTGTTCTGATCGAGATCGCGATCGCGATTGATTTTCGCGATCTCTATTGATTTCTGGTTGTTTTTGCAGGATCAATTCGGGAAGGTGCCTCTGTATTGGGGAATCACGGCCGATGGATACGTCGCGTTCGCCGACGATGCAGGGCTTCTGAAAGGCGCTTGCGGAAAATCACTGGCCTCGTTTCCTCAAGGTAATTGAAAAAGTCGGGGCACGATTTTGTTCGATTCGAATGCAATTGAAAAGAGGAGGAATCTGAATCATCTGATTATGGATTTTACTGGATTAATTTCAGGCTGCTACTTCTCCACTGCGGTGGGAGAATTGAGATGCTATGAGAATCCGAAGAACAAGATAACCGCGGAGCCTGCTCCTGAAGAAGAGATTTGGGGCGCAAAATTCAAGGTAACGCCACGATCAAACTCTCTTTGAAAAGACATTCTATAGCAATGATCTTATCGATATTTTAATCCACAAAATAAATATTTGACTTTCTTTTAGATTGTGGAGATCATGTTGGTGTCATGTTTTCAATTTTAAAAACTTTGCCATATCAGTTGTAATGACTAACAACACAATGTTTTACCCCGTTTAGGGACTAAAACAGAACATTTGAGGAATCAATACAAATTTAAAACTTCTAACATTTGAAGAATTAAAACAAATTTGAAACTTCAAAACAAAATTGAACTTTCAGGTGGAGGGGCCAACGGTGGTGGCGGCCACGGGGTTGGGGCATCTCAATTTCCCAATGGAGATTTCATAAATCTATTTGGAGGAAGTGGAAGGAAGGTTAAGATGTGGTGAAGAATGGTTTGTTTTTAAGGGCACTGTAAATATGAGCCCTTGAGCAGTAGACATTGGAAAAGATATGCTTTAATTTAGGGCATCTCAATTTCCCACCTGTTTCTGCTTTTCTTTAATAAAAGCGTCTTCAAGAATTTGATCATGATCTTTTAAGTTGAATTACTTCTTTTTTTTTTCTTTTAAGAAAAAGATATAACATTGGAAAAGATATGCTTTAATTTAGTCTATTAATAGAGTATATATAAAATATAAAGTTTAAGTTAGTTGTATATAAAACTCTAAACTTTAATTCCTTTGTGTTTTTTGACACCAAATGTTGTAGGGTCAAGCGGTTGTAGTTAGTCTGAACACTCACGGATATCAAATAAAAAAAAAATACATACTCCAAATCCAACCTGATTCATCGAAAAGTCCATATAGCTAGGTTCCTCGAATAGATAAAATCACCAAAACCATACCGAGAATGCTTTAGGCATTCAAACCTAACACAATTAACAAATAAGAAACCGAAAGGAAAAAATAAAAAAAAAATAAAAACACCCCAATTCATTTTATCCTCAAATTTGCTGCTATATCTTCTTTGACAACAAAAGACTGTAACACAGACAGTCAACAACTCAGGAGCCCATATGAAAAAATCTGTTGAATCCTTCGTGGAACGTAACGTAGAATTGGATCTCCATTGTCTAAAAAACCCAAAACATACCATTGGAATGAATAAAGGAAAAATCTTGCGATTAAGTCTTTTGAATGATGAACAAATATATATAAATTCATAATTAATATAAAATAAGATCAATTTCCATCCACCATTGCGTATCGGTGCTTATCAAGTATAGAATAGATCTGCTTCTTTGCTTCTTAACTTTAGAATAGATCCATCATTCAATCTAGATAGTCATTCCAAGCATGAGACTTAAAAAGAGCAAATGCTAACAGCAATTAAGTTAGATATATTCCAGCATTAAAAGCTTCCTCTCTCGTTCAAATGTATTCAACACAGAGGGCTCAAGCAACGCAGATGCTGCTTGAAACCGCTTGGATCATGTATGTGACAATATTTTTCTCCTCCGTTTCACTTAATTAAATCTTAGGGGAGAACTTGCTAAGAGAAGGTTCGAATTTGAGACTTCTGAGTCAGTGCGATCAAAAGACATCAAGCTCTTGCCAACTGGACTGCCACTTGGGACTAAATCGTCACAAACTTAAGTTTAAAAATGAGTGCTCAAAAGTATTACATGTAAGGGACGCAAGGTTCAAAATGTCGATGTCGATGTCCCAATTTTTCGGACATTTCGATGGCGATGAAAATATCAAGGTTCCGAGTACCTCGGCACATCAACATTTAGAACTTTGAGGCGAAGGGGAGACAAATACAAAACCTTTTCAAACTAGTCAATCCTGATCTATCGAACTTAGTGCTGAAAACAGCTGGACGAACATTAAAATAAAATTCTATAATGATAAAAAAGAAAAAGTGACAGTAATTAATATTATGATGAAATAAATAGAGGACAAAATGAATTTGGATAGAAGATATGTAGATGGTAGGGCTTTCACATAACCAAAACAAGAAAGGGATTATAAACATATGAAAATAGACATAATGGAAGATCATACAGACAATAACAAGAGCTGAAAAATCCTGGGTTCTCAAGACCGTTACATGCAATGGAGGGAAACAAATAAATTCAAAATCTCCCCAAATCTTTTTTTAGATTAGTTGGGTGACTTTTCCAATTTTTTCACTTCTTTTTCCCTATTCTTCGTCTACCTTTTTTCCTCAACTTGACGATGCAGTATTGATACTTGATCATCTGAAGCTAAAAGTTAAAGGGAGAAAAACAGAACAACAAATTGCAGAAAAACTCCATCTAAAATTAAAGGATAGTAAGGCACATAACAAAACAATATAAGAGAAATGTTATGCAATTTACGCAATTTCTCTACAATCATTTAAAACTATGAAAAATAAAAATTAGATTATATATGTGTCTACCCCTTTAAATTGTGGATAAATATTCGTGGAGATTATTCATTTTTCATTCGAAAACAAAATGGAGATGAAGAAAATTGAAAAAAAAAAAAAAAGCAGTTACATTGTTCTTCAAGTTGAGAAGAAAATCAAGAATATGAGAGAAAGAAGGGAGCAAGAAGTGGTACAAAGAGGGAGAAAAGGGAGAAAAAGAAGAAAAGGGACAAGAGTCGTCCAACGGATCTCAAAAAAGAATTCAAAGAGATTTTTGGAAGATTTTGATGAGATTATGGGATTTAATAAAATAGCTGAAAAAAAGCAACAACCAACACTTATCTTTTTTATAGCATCACGTGAGAGTAAGCTTTCCTTAATTTGGGATCTTTACAACTTTTTGTCTTAATAAAATGATCAAAATATCCATTGTGATTTGTGATCCTCGGAAATTCTGTCAATTACCATTGAGCTTTTTTTACTATCATGTTCAGTAATTATTTTTACTTTCTGGAAGAACAGAAGGTGAAAGGTAAAGAATCAGACGTTATTATATAAAACACTTATATACATGTACATATACACGAATATAATACTATGAAAAAAAATACTCGATCAATCATGAAGTGATTATGACGATAACAATGAATGTGTCATAAGATTGAGAAGAATTGCACTAATCCTTGGAAAAAGCTTCCAATTTTCACCAATAGAGCATGTCACTCCTAAGATCAAGACACACAATAATTTTTAGGCATGGTGAAATTATCTCAATTGACTAAATTCAGCACTCATATTTCACAAATGTTTTTTTTCCCTAAAATCTTAATAAATTTAGATTTTGAGATTTCAATTTCAATTTCAATTTTTTGTCCAATTATTGATCTTGATCGATGTCATCCTTTAATATTTATTATATAATTTTTCAGCTATTTATTTTCAAATAAGTAGAGATTTTTTGTCCAATATTACTCATCTCATTATCTATTGGTTTTGAGATACCTCTATAAATATTAATATGGTATCATACCCAAAAGCTCAAACGAGCATCTAATACAAAACAAATCAGCCAAGATTAATGAGCCAAAAGAGTCACGATCACGAGGGGAGGGACATGTTAAGGATCTACATTGAAAAAAAATAAGAGACCTAACAAAAGTTTATAATAGAATTCTGTTAATTGGTTTTAAGATGGAACCCATGAATATTTTTTTTAAGAAGTATATGTTTATCATACTATTGAAAACAAGCATGTCGAAAAGAAATGCTGGAAAAATATAATGAGAAGAAGAAGATAATTAAGATATATAATAATATTTTGAAGAAGTATATGTTTACCATAGCACGGGAGCAAGAAAGACACCGAAAAGAAAAAGATAGAGATAATGAAGGGAAGAAGATAATTAAAATATGGAAATAATATTAAATAAAATGTGCAATAATTAACCATATAATTTTGAAATATAAGATCTTGAATAGATGCAGTAATGTTTTGTTTTAATTGACAAAACATATATATAGAAAGTATTAATAAAAATAAAAATGTGTATGTGGATTACTGAAATAAAAAAAAAAAAGAAAAGAATAATATGGTCATAAAATAATCTTAAAAATCTAAAAGTGAAAATTTCCATCTACATGAAAAGAAATGGGTTGTGAAAGTCTCTATTCGTCAAGCCCATCCCAATGGCTCGTGGGCCTACCTATGGGACTAGGCCCAACACAATTTTGTCCTGAACAATGAACTGCCAACGATTTGTTGAATTATTCGAACTTCCAAGTTCTTTTTTTTAGTCAATTTTAACTTTGACGTTCAATTGAAGAATAGTAGTATAGGTGTAAATCACATTTGTTCAAAAACAAGAACAATTTTTTAAAACTATTTATTTTAGCTTTCAAATTTTGACTTAGATTTTTTAAGATTTATAAATTTAATTTTCAAAATAAGAAAACAGAAAACAAAATAATTATAAAACAATATCTAGTATTTTTAAAAAATAAAATTGAAAAAGTTAAATCCAGCTACAAAATCGTCTTGGTTTAACCTACCTATCTATATAATCATTTTCGTCTCGTTTGTCCATAATAGCAATCCTATTTAGCCACAAATATTTAAAAGATATTGAATCCTCATAAANAAAAAGAAAGAAATTGCCGCAAATAGCGCGGGCCAGGGTCAGAAAAATGATTCAGCTAATAAATAACTGCGGGGCCCACTTTTTGATGCGATATGTGATGTGTACGCCATGCAGTTCCCCTTCACGCCTCCGAAATATTATTCTCTTTATTTCTTATATAATAGAAAATAGTTTTTTTTTCTTTCTTTTTTTAAATAATGAAAGGCAATATATTGATAAGAAAGATTTTCAAACCAAATTTTACATTTATGAAAGAAACTTTACTATGTGCGTGGGATTACAAATAACAACTCTTCTACTCTAAGAATGATTAGTCAATTTCTAAAATTCCGACTCAATTTAGATTCAACTTTGAAGAAAAAAGTTTAAATGATACATTCTCGACTACGAAATAAGTTTAGAGGTCTCTTGGTCATATTGATTTAAAAATCCGAACCTTTCGATGAGTTTAATACAAAAAATTCTTAACGTCTCTTGAATCTAGATTTTGGCAGGTACGGATACCCTTAGGTATAGGAGAACAAAGCTTCCGACTCCTAGTTAGAAAAAAAAATTTATGAAGTAAACATAACTGATTAGTAAAATTTTAAAATTTCATAAGAAATTTGCATTCAAGCATGCAACCTTAAATCAAATACTAAAGTTGAAATACAATTTCATATATAGAATGTGATGATATTTGAAGGATACTTTTTCTTTGGCCAAACAATTATTTGTAATTGTCATTGCAAATAAAATTCCATAAAAACTTTTCTGGTTGGATAATGAATTTGTTTTTAATTTTATTATATTTGAAAATAAAAATGAAAAAGATACATATGAGAAATTAATTATACATTTTATTTGCTTGACTTTTCACTCTTGAAAATGACAATAATTAAAAAATTAAAATTTTAAGTTGGAATTTCAAGAAATATTCTTAGAAAAATGGATGAAAAATATTAATAAATAAGTATGGAGTTTTATTTTAAAGAAAAATGGGAAAGAGATCCGAAATAAATGGTTTGTGGGTGGCCATTGGCCAATTAATGCAGTGGTATGGTATCGTAAGTATCTATTTTTTCCCTAAATAACTTTTATCTCTAACTTTGGAATGATGATCTGGCGTAATTAAAAAGTATTCATTTTTTCTTTTTTCTTTTTTTTGAAATATTTAAAAAGTATTCATTAAATATAGGTTTTTTTTATTATTTTTAAAACATATTTCTAAAATACTTCTCTTCCCAACAATTTTTTCTCAACGTTATAAATATGGACCTCAAATATGAAATATTTCCTCAAAGAGATGATTTTACCATACCTATGAATTCGATTTCATAAAATTAAATAAACAACATATGACACACCGATTATTTGGTTGTTAGATATTCCATATAAGTCAAACGTTCAGTTCTTAGATTCAGCTTGAAGTTGGTTCGTTCATGCTAGTCGTCTTATAGCTATAAGACAAAGATTTGCAAGTTAATAGTTTATTAAGTATCAACATTGACATAGATTAATGAATAAAATCGTCTATTTTAATTCTAAAAATCGATCGTTATTATATTAATGAGATTTCATCTCAAAATCGATTGACAATGAGAAGATAGAGTAGTTTGTGTCTATCATAAACCATTGTAAGATCCCGTAATTTCTTTTCCACGTGGGACAATTAATAGTTATATCTCCACCCCATATAATTGTTATCTAAAAACGGCTTACTGAAGGGAGATGATCCTTTCATTTAGCATAAAAAGTAAAAACATTAGTTGTATATTCAAATCACGTAAAATATTTACCTCACTGTATTAACATATTCATTGTCAACTTAAACACATAGTTGGTTAAAGAACCGATACGACTAAAAGGTTTTGAGTTCTAATCATCTCAATCGAACATGGAAAAAAATCTTCGTTACTTTTTTGAAGACAAATATCTATTATGGAATTAAATTTTTGTATACATCGTTTTTTTTTATAATAAATCTTATAAAAATACATTTTAACATACCCCATAAATATTTAATAAGCAAAAACCATTCTTACGGGAAATTAGACGAAGAAAATGGAAGAAACGTAAAACAATATTATGATTCATAAAGGTCGGCTCGGCAGATCGCGACATGTCGGAGGTTTAGTTAATATAATAATAATAATAATAATAATAATAATAATAATAATAATTAACATGGATCTTATCGAGTACATCAATATTGTTGTTTTTATCGAAACTTTGTTACTAAGAAAGATGACACTTTTTATTAAAAAAAAAAAAACCCTAATTCCAAGACTTGATCGTGATTAACATGAGATTAGTTTGGTGGTAATTGACACTTTTTAGTCCTTGTGCATTTAAAAAGTGACCATTTTTATCACTAAAATTATAACATAAATTTAATTTATACACCGTGAAAACTCTTTAATATATATTTATGATCACAGATCTACATTTGATCAAGAAATTTAGTAAGTGAAGTCTCGTACTAAAATTATGATGGAAATAAATGAGATAAGATTGAGAAGAGACCAAGATGATTATGTTTTAAAAGTACACAGACCAATAATATAGACCTTTGAAAGCATAAAGGCGAAAATAAACTAAATCTAAAAGTATTGGGCACCAAAATCATATTTAAACTTCAGTTATCTAACTTTTTCAGTACAATTCTTTTATTTGTTATGTCAAAGTGTTTGTTTCCTTAATATTTATTTGAGATATGCCAATTTAATGTTTTACATTTTATAATAAAAACTAGTTTTAATTTAAAAAAAAACAGAAATATTTCTAATTTGGATTAAAAAAATGATATTGGTTTTTTAGTTCTTGGGGTTCTTTGAAAACTATCTTCAAAAGCTATTTTGTTATACACTTATTTTCTTCCCAAAATATGTGTTATTATTATTTAAAAATTATAACATTTTTTTAGTATAACATTATAATTGATGTTTTTTTTTCTTTTATAGTAAGTAATCTCAACATTTAATTTACTATCACATTTCCTTATGTTCCAAGTAACTTCCAAATGTGTAATTAGTAGTTATTATTATTATTATTTACTCACTTTTTAGTTTTTCCTTTATGTTTTTCTTTTCCTTTCTACTTTCATTTAGGAGAAGCAAAAACAAAAAATAAAGTTTTTTTTTTAATCCCAAATGATAATAAGAGTAAATGTCAACCACAAGGAAAATAGAATGTGTATATAACAAGACAATGTTATAATTCAAAAGATAGTGATTTATCAAAAAATAAATAAAAAAAATCAAAAGATAATGAAATTTGGTAAAAAAAAAAAGGGTAAGATAATGCATTTAAATACGCATTAAAAAGTAATTATTAAAAGAAACTATAAAGTCTGTGTGTGTAAATGAGAAGTTAGTTAAATGAAAAAAAAAAAGGTTTTATTATGACTTGAAAAACAAGTATGTGTAGACTTTTACAATTTCTATTTTCTTATTATTTTAAAAGATACATTTAGTTTCTTTTATCTCCTTTTTATTGCAACAAGAATAAGAAAGGTATTTACTAACTGTTTTTAGGGTTTTTCTTTTCTCATAAAAATGAAAATATTTGAAGATCTAAATATTTTTCTTGTCCTTTCTACTTTCGATTTTAGTTTATTTTGGTTATTGCATTTTTAAAATGTTTATATTAATCTATGTATTTTGAAAAAGTGACTGTATATTTTTATTTTTATCTCATTTCTTTTTCATCAAAATTTGAGCATGAGATTTCACTCACAGGATTTCTCAAATGTAACCATAAATTTGAATTAAAGGGTTTTTATAAAATTTTACAAATATGGACAAATTTTTTTTTTTAAACATAAGGACTTAAGTGAATAATTTGAAAATACAAATACTAAAATGAATAGACATTTTGAAAGTAAGTCGAAATTATAGGGACCAAAATTATATGTAAAGCGCATTTTAACTTGAAATCTCACTTTCTAAAAGTAAAGTATTCCAAAACGATTATTTTACCAATATTTTCCGAGAATTGGAAATCAAAATCAAGAAACATAAACTATCGAAAACAATTTTGAGTATGTTTCTATAAACACAAGATAGGAGAAATAGGGAAATTTACCAAATACATGTTTTTCTCAAATGCAAAAAAATAAGATAGCTACCTGTTATAAAATAAGCCATAAAGATGAAAACCAAACTGAAAAAAGAAAATAATAAATTATTTGTTTTTTTGGTTAAAAAAAATATTTGTTTAAATACTATTTTGGCCTTACTTTTAGTTTAGTTTATTTTGATCATTATACTTTGAAGACCTTCAATTTGGTTCATATATTTTCAGTTCATTTTAGTTATTGTATTTTCAAAATGTCAATTTTTGTCATTATTCTTTTGAAAATTACCAATAAATGACTTATATTTGTCAAATCTTAACACAAATGTTTATACACCATAGAAACTTTTTAATACAAAATGTATGGTTACATTTCAACAATATCGTGAATGAAGTGTCATGCTCAAATTTTGATCAAAACATATGAGATAAAAAAATTGTATTGAATAATCCAAATAATCACTTTTTAAAAGTATTAGAGGGAAAATAGTAATTAAGCCTAAATTATCCGTACTTTCCAAAAAAGAATGATATAATCATCCCAATATTTCTCTCCGTTTGGTAACTAATAATTAAATTTGTATAGTTAAAATTTGCTTATAAATATGGCTTCTATCTATTTATTATTTGCCATATTAATCACTTTTGAAAAAAAAAAATCCAAGTTAAATTTAGAAAACTAAACAAAATACTTTTTAATAATATATTTTTATTTTTAAGTTAAAAAATTCAAATATTCGTAAAATAATTTTTTTAAAAAAACACACATTAAAGAAATTGGAAAGAAAGTGGACATAATTTTAGAAACAGAAGACTAATCATCAAACCGATCTAAAAGAATATGCAATTTATTTTAGTTTATATGTTTATATTTATATCATCCAATTTTATTCAGACCTCAATTTTAAAAAACTATTTAATTTAATTTAATATATAAAAGAAAAAAAGTCCAAAGATTTTAGTTGGCGGTGCACGACGCATCCAGTTTCCACAATTTTCTTTTTATTATTAATTTTTCAAAAAAATAAATAAAAAGCCAAAAAACGGTATTATAGTAAAACGGCTTTACAGCCAAAGCGTTGTCCGAACTATCGTTCAGAGTAAGAAAATCCCCACGCGCCTCTCAACGCCGTGTACGCACAGCCAATGACACAAAAGAAAACTTTAATACCATTCTATATTTTTTTTCACGCTCTGGAGCTGCGCGTGGGCTTAGTTTCTCCTCCAGATATCCGTTACCCACGAGTGTGCCAATCAAACCCTCTCTCTCTCCTCTATCTTTCTCTCTCTTCCCCCATTAACAAATAACAAACAAATAACAGTAAGCAACCAGACCAGTTTCTAACCCCACTCCACTTTCTTCTTCTTCAAAAATTTCAGTGGGCTTATGGATTTGGTGTGCTTAATCCTCTTTCTTCGGTTTAATTTCTCCCGAATTTTTATTTTCGATCATTAATTGTTCCCTCTTCCCAAAAGTGAAGGAGAGAAATCAGAAAAGTAAAGTGGGGGAAGAAATATTTTGTTGTTTATTTTTCCGCCATGAATGCTTCCTTGCTTCCTTCGCACCCATTTCCCTTTTTCTTCCTTCTCTTTTGAAATACCCCAATTCATTACTTCTCGAAACTGACCTACCAAGGAAGTTAAAGCAGAGTCCCACAAACAGGGGATTTCATGATTGGTTCCGTGAATCAAAAATAGGGGGGAAAGAGGAAGAAGAGGAAGAAGAAGAAGAGTTTGTTCTTGATTTTGATATTGGGTTAAGCTTAAATGTCTAAGGACCCTCCTGTTATTGATCTTGAAGCCATGCCGTTCAGCGAAGTCTGCAATAAACTGAAGCGATTGAGGCTGTTCGAGCCGTCTCTTGGGGTTTTGGGGTTTTTCTTTGTGTCTGTTTTTCTGATTTGCGGATTCTTTTACTTGGATTACGGGATTGATTCGAAAGGGTTTGTGTTTCCTCTTCGATCAGAGAGATTTGTTTGGCTGAGAAATGGGAATTTGGGTCAGAATCGTAAGGTGGAGTTTCTTTCTGAAGAGGGGATTGGGTGTGATTTGTTTGATGGGGATTGGGTGTGGGATGATTCTTATCCGTTATATGAGTCCAAGAACTGTCCGTTTGTGGACCAAGGATTTCGCTGCTCTGAAAATGGCCGCCCTGATTTGTTCTACACTAAGTGGAGATGGCAACCCAGAATCTGCAACTTGCCCAGGTAAATTTTCCATCTCACAACTCTCGATTCTTCCATTTCTTTGTTCGATTAATCCGATAATGAATCATGCTGTCGAGTAATCGAGGAAGAACAATCGCAGTCCTATTTCAATACTTTATCGGGTTCAGAAGATTTATTTGGATTGTGTGGATCATTGTTACAGGGTCTGGTTTCTGCTTAGTTTGAAAATCCTTTTTGAGTTATATTATAATTTTTCTAAGCTTTCCAGTGGCGCCCCCACTTGGTTTATATGCTTTTTACCCGTTAGTAATATTTGTCCTTTTCTTCTTTCTGTTGTGTTTTGACTGATTTCTCACCCGTGAACTGTTGGATGGTGATATCAGAAAGGGACCTTCCTATGCAGTAAAGACAAGCTTTTGTTTGCGTATGATTTTTTGAGGATTCTTGTTGCTTTTCTTGGTGAAGGTTTAGTAAATTATTATTCTAGTAAACAATGTTTTGTTGATTCTTGTTATTCAGGGAACAATTGCAAAAACCGGTCTTGAATTTTATTACCCTTAAATTGTTGCAATTAGACCTTGTGGTTAGACCTTTGTTAGAAGTTAAGTTTAACTTTGAGGAATTCTATAGTCTGAGGATGTGATTTGTGCATTTTCGAGCTTCGACTAATGGGTTATAATGATGTAGTTCAAATTGTAATAGTATCGTTAGTAATTACTCAAACTGAAAGTTTAAGAGCGAGATTGTAACAACCAGTGGTTTTTGAATTTGGATTTATGTCCGTAATCTGGTTGAAAAGAGCTTACACGCTTCTGTTTTCTGTTTCGACATCTTATCAGATTCAATGCAGCATTGATGTTGGAGAAGTTGCGAAACAAACGGGTGGTGTTCGTTGGTGACTCGATTGGAAGAAACCAATGGGAATCTCTGTTGTGTATGTTATCATCTGCAGTTCCAAACAAAGAATCCATCTATGAAGTGAATGGCAGTCCAATTACAAAGCACAAGGGATTCTTGGTGTTCAAATTCAAGGATTTCAACTGCACCATCGAATACTACCGAGCTCCATTTCTCGTGTTGCAGAGCCGACCTCCTTCTGGATCTCCTCAACAGATCAAGACTACTCTTAAACTAGATCAGATGGATTGGTTCTCAGCCAAGTGGAGAGATGCTGATGTTTTGGTCTTAAATACCGGGCATTGGTGGAACTACGAGAAGACCATAAGAGGGTAACGTTTTCGACCACGTTTTCGAGCTTTCAATGGTTTCATTTCCAAGTTTGTTCTCAATGAATGATGAGTTTTTTTGTTCCTCATGTTATGTTTTGTGCAGAGGTTGTTACTTCCAAGAAGGGAAGGAGGTAAAGATGGGAATGAAGATTGAAGATGCGTATCAGCGCTCGCTTGAGACTGTGATGCACTGGATTGGCAACGAACTAAACTCGAAGAAGACGAAGATCTTCTTTCGCACATTCGCGCCTGTACATTTTCGGTATGTTTCATCCCTTTTCTCTGGTAAATCACAACACCTGAAGTAGAAGTAGAGTTGTATGTGCATTCTATCTGGCTTTGTAAATGAGATATGAAAATTGTGCAGAGGTGGAGATTGGAGGAGCGGTGGGAGTTGTCACACAGAAGCGCTGCCCGAGCTCGGTTCTTCGCTTGTTCCGCCGGAAACCTGGTCGCATTTCAGGATAGCCAATGCCATTCTATCAGGTTACCCAATCACGCAAAATTCAACAAAGTTAGAGATATTAAATGTAACACGAATGACTGCACAAAGAAAGGATGGGCATTCGTCTCTTTACTACCTCGGTCCCGATGTCGGTCCTGCACCTCCTCATCGACAGGATTGCAGTCACTGGTGTTTGCCCGGGGTTCCTGATGTGTGGAATGAACTTCTTTATGCACTGTTCTTGAAGCATGAATGGAACTCTTCAACTTCTCAAGCCACACAAATGTGATTGAGGCTGAAATTTTTTTGTGCCAAACAGGTATATGTTATTTATAAGTCTGGATATTCGAGTCGGTCGATCGCCTTCCTGCAAGAACGGTCCCGAACTTCCAAAGAAGAAGAAGAAGAGGATTGAGTACTGAAAAGTTTACATAGAGGTTAGAAAGCAAAGTGATTGAATTTGCTTACAGAAATGATGATAACCAGAGGCCATACAACAGCATTCTTCATTAGTCTTGGGAGCAGCCAAAAGTTTTGGACATCCAGGGGCATATTTGGAATAAACAGCAGCATAGATTTTTTATTTCTTTTTAAATAAATAGATTTAATGGCCATCTTGTATATATTGTTTAGTGCTAAAATTGTAACACTATCATGAAAAGGGCCTTTCCAAAATAGGGTATTTTCATTCAAATCTAGCAGAGAAGTTGGGCTTCTGGAATGGGCTTCTGCTCATTATTTGGAACTTTGGATTGGGTCACTGTATAAACCTTGGTTAGGGTAGTATGTCCCAGTTCCCAAACAACTCTTTGCTCTATGAGCCATTAGGATTTGAATCATTTCAATTCAAACAACAGAAACTTATGGCTTATAATTACCCATTTTTGTAGGTGATTTTGAGTTAGTACCTGAATTTTAGTTTGTAACAATTTAGTTTATCGTGAAATTTTCTTGTTAACTATATTGATAAATTAAAGAGTGACCAAATATGTTTATTAATTAAAAAGATTAAATTGTTATATGATAAAATTTTGCACTAATTTTAATAAAAAAATTTACGGTAGAGACTAAATTGATACAAATGTTAAACTACAGGGACTAAATCGTTACCAATTAAAGTCTAGAAACTAAATCGTTACAAACTAAAGTTGAGAGACTAAATGGTTATTTTAATGAGAGTACAAGGACCAAATGTGTTTTTTAACCTTATTTTTTAATTTTGCAAAAACGGAAAAGTTTGGAGGGTTAACCAACGTAGAAGCAAGTAAAGGTTTATTACAATCTTTAATAAAAATTGAGCCCAAAGAATGAAGTATTTGAAATTTTGGAATTGTACAATCAGGACTAGTCTAGTTTAATCAAAATAATTTTTGAATATCTGGCCAAAGCAATATAGCTTAGTCGTAATTGACATATTATCCAACCAAAAGATTGTAACTTCGATCTCCCACCCCAACATGTTGTACTAAAAAAATATATTTTTAAGATCTGAAACAAACCCAACTCATAAAATTTCAATTGATTTGAATCTAACTGAATCAAGAACAAACTTACCATTCAATCCAATTGGGGTCATCAAAATCTCAAGTAAAACTTGATGTGAAGAACAAGATTGAACATTTGGAAATCTAAGACATTGAACTTAGAAATTGGCAGCCCAAAAATGGCATGTTCTTCTTCTCCAAAATCTTGAAAAGAGTTGGAAACAAAATTCAGTGTTAAATGAGTTGGCTGATTAAACCCAATAGTTCTTATCATCCATCTTTTAAAGGAAAAGAAAACAAAAACTTTAGACATTAGGAAGCTCCTCTGTCCCCTCATAAGTCCACATTCAAGGCCCCTTTCACAGCTAGAAAACCCTCTAATTGAGAATCTAATCAATTTTTTTTTTTTTTGAATCACAAATTATAGATTTGAATTTATACAACTTTCTCAAACTTATTTACTTGGGTTCATGTTTCAATTTTGTCAATATAAAAGTCTCAATTTGGTGAGAGCGCACCAGCCATCCACAAACTCCTCTTTATCCACTTGAAAATCCACTAGTTTTCATTTAACACACGCTATGATTTTACTTTTATAAATAATTCTTTAGTAGTGTGCACCCCACATCATTTCTCAACAATAATGACGTGACTTTTAATAAATTAAAGCAGTATCTAATTGTCTTACAATGCCAAACATTTTCCCATAAACCACGAGCTATGTCATATTGATTCCGAACCATACCCTCATCTATTCAATTCACTCAACCCCTCCATACTTTCTCTCATCTCAACAAAAATTCAACCCAAACAAATACAATGTTGGAAAATTTTACTGGATGCCCATTTTCAATACGTCCACTTAATTCTGATCAACTTTTTAAACCGTAGGTGTGAAAGGATGGGTACATGAATGAACCGATATCAATGAGAGGAATCCTGAAATCATAGAAGAATGATCAAGAAATTAAAAGCTTAAAACAACTTTAAAGTTAAACGTGTTTTACTTAGAGCAATCTTCGATTAGACCTGGAGCAAACAGATATTCTGAATATCCTGAACTCAGCACACAGAGACTTGAGAGGAAAGGGGAAAAAGGAATAATTTGTGGGGGTACCCACTAAAAATGGGCACTCAATCAAATTTCCCTATGATGTGGATTGCAAAAACTCAACAAAATAAAAATTAGAAAAAAAAGGTAACAAGTTTCGTTGTTGTGTAATATGTGGCCATGGTTACATGTGTCAGAAACAAGCTTTTGAGCACATCCTCACCACACTCCCTCAGCCAATTGGAAACAAAATTTGAGCTTTTGGATTAGATCATTAGCACTTAAGGCTCTGTCTTCTTCTTCTTCCCTCCAACTGGATAATTAAAATCAGAGCTCAGTTTCAATCTTGTCTTCAAGGACAAATTTTCCAGCTGGTTCTTCATCTCTCTCTCTCTCTTCTCTATTTAAATCTCTAAGGAAAAAAAAGAAGAAGAAGAAGAAGAAGAAGAAGAAGAAGAAGAAGCAGATCACCAAGTAGAGTTTTGAGTTTCCCATTTATTTTGGAGAAAGAAAAATGGAAATAATGGAAGTAGAAGATGATGATTTGTTGTTTGCAGAGCTAACCCGACGGATTTCGCTTCTCATTATGGACGACGACGAGGAGCTTCCCATCGTTCATACGGTTCCATTTCTTGCACTAAATTTTTATATTTGTGTCTATTTAAAAAGATTTTAATACGTCATTGAATTTTGTTGCTCTTATTATAGGTTATTGCTGCATTTTAACTTAAAAATTAGCTTGCCAAAATATTTGATTTTGAAAAGTTTGAACAATATTTATAAATTTTTGGGAGTATAAATGGTTTACTTTTGTTTTTGTCTATTTTAGTTAATTACTTTTTAAAGTCGTCATTTTAGTTTCTATGCTTTTTATCTTATGTTTTAATCATAATTTCAATACAATGCTACATAAATTTTTTTTAAATATTGTCGTATTAAAAGATTTTCCTTTTGATATAAAATTAATGTTAAGATTTTTACAGACAATTACTTTTTAAAAGGGAGGATTAAAATGATATTTAAACCTAAGACTTAATTATGATTGAACATTCGGTTAATGTATCAGAATTTGACCCGAACGGCGAACCGAGTACGACTCGGGCAGTCACCACTGATGGCGGATTACGAGAACGGCTTTGCACGGGAGAGCAAAGGCATCGGAGTTTTCATTCCGGCAAGGTCGCCGCAGCCGAGGAGGAAGCAGAGACACACCGGCGGCTTCAGAACCAAGTCGGAAAACAAGAGGGCCACCAATTCTCAACCGTCTTCTACCCATTACTTTAAGCCCAAAAAGGGCTGAGCTTATAATTTCTTGTATATCTAATTTCTAATTATTCCCAGTTTTAGTTCTAAGTTATTTAATTATTTGATTAAAAAATCTTTTTTTAGATATGCAACAATAAACATAATTTAGCCCTAATTGACATATACTCCTTCGTTCAAGGTCGGAGGTTAAATGTCCATATTCCCAAATTGTTGTATTAAAAAAATTGTTTAATAATTCATGTGTGATAGGCTGGTTATGCCACTCATCTCTGTCAATGAGAGATTAATAAAGAAGATTTAGATGTCATAAAGTCTCTATAATATTTTTTTAGATCAAAGTCTATAGATAATCCCTCACGACTTAGGATACAATTTAACATTTTTAATTATATAACTTTATTATATTATATATGCACGCTACATGTATCTAGAAAAAATTTTATTAACTTAAAACGACTTTATTGGACTAAATAAAAAAAATCTCATAGACGTGACAACTACGAATGTCGCTAATAATTTTTGTGGCGATCCCTTTTATTGTCGCTAATACTTATCTTTAGCAACATCTTGATCGTTGATAATACTCTATTTCTAGCGACATGAGTGTAATGTTGCTAAAAGTTAAAAAGACGCGACACCAACGACTTTCTCAACAATGAATCATTGTGAGTCGCTAAAAATTTTAGTGATGCTTTTAGGCTTTTAGTGATTTTTTAGCACGTTTTTGAAACTTTATTTTCTTTTATATCTCTTTTTACTAGAGGGGTAAACATTTCATTTCCATCTCATGCTTCCATGTATTCACATTTTTAGCTCAAAAAATAGATGATTATAGTTTGATTAAGATGAACTATGACGATATATTTATTCTTCAATCAAATCGATCTTTTCTTTATTTGACGATGCAACAAATTTATAAAGCCAAATGATTGGCCTTGGGCATCGGTTTGAGACCAAA